CCTGTTCATCTCTTGGCACAAGGCAGGGTGGTGACTGGGAGCAGGGCTTCTGTTCAGCCACTGCTGGAGACTAAGCCCAACTTTGCTTCATAGAGAGCTGTAAAATGGGCTCACTCCTTCAAAAGGCTCCTTGTTTCCATGGGGCGTCTGCTCCCACCCCCTCCTCAGGAGCCGGTGGGCATGGCACAACACTGCCACGTTTCCCTTTTTCACTAGGCTTCCCTTCTTCCTCCTAGATTCACCTCTTCCATATGATTATGTAGTCAGGGTGGCTCAAACTGTGCCCAGGAAACATTTGCAAACACGCAAGGCAGCCTAAGGAAGTGGTCCTCGCTCCTATCTTGGGTAAATTCAAAAAGAGGTTGGATGAACACCTGTCTGGGGTCGTGTGATCCCAGCGTGTGCTCCGGCCAGTGGTGGAGGGTCAGACTAGATGATCTATTTGGGTCCCTTCTGACCCCTAACTACTATGAAACTATGAAAGGGACCTGCTGCTCTCTAAAGAGAGGAGACAAACCTCGGCACATGCAAGGTTGTCTCATGATATCAGCTGAGACAGGCAGAAGGCTGGAGGTGCAGTGACAAACCAGCACTATTGCTCTGCCATTTGTGTGCCTGGGGAAGTAAAGCGAGACTCTTGCTGCTGCTCTTGCTCAGGGAGGCATAAGAGCAGCAGCATCTTTATTCTTTATTCATGCTCACAAAGCCAACACAGCACACTGAACCCCAGCCTGATCAAATAGGCCTAGTAGTGTCTGCCGTCTGCATTCAGTCATCTGCAAGTCCTTGGGCTACCCTTGGCCCACGGAGTGGGTTTGTTCTGCTGCTGTTTCTTCCACCTCTTGTTTGGAGTTGATTCTGGTCCGTTTGCCCTTCCCTCGTTGACCTCAACGGCATCAGAGTCCAGGCCCCGATCACGGCTCCCTCCACGAGGAAGTCGGATGATCTTACTGTTGGGTACCGCGTGGTGTCTGGGTTTGTCTGAGAGCCCATGGAGAATCCTGTCTGCAAAGTGGTCACCAGAGAGGTTGTGGGCTGTGATGCTGTATAGTCTCCTGGCTGGATCCTAGGAAACCAGGCAGGCATGCATCAAGGGTGAGTCAGCACAGGAAATGAATGCAAATGACATCCTGGCAAAAACTATTGTGCATCCTTCTTGGGTTTTGCTGGAAAGTCTTGTTCTGTTTTATCTGGGAAAGCAATGGCTTATGACTGTGGGTTTTTCTATACCAGGGCAGGGATGGTTCCTTGTGGTGTAAACTTGCATTCCCGGCTTGTCTGGTTTTCCAGGACTCTGTTTTTCTCTTGTGGGGATGAGTTTGGATCTCCTCTCATGCAGCCTGAGGCAAATCTGGAGTCCATGAGGCACATTCATGGAGGACAAGAATCCAGCCTCAGTGCTTGGAAATGTAGTGAATAATTGTGTAAAATGGATAGATTAGGCTGTGCTGTCTGGCTGCCAAGACTCCCGTGCTAGCCCCGGCTGCAGAGAGGCATGTGGGCTGCGTTTCAAGAAACCAAGATTGTCGACTTTAGAGAAATTTACCTGGCAAAGAGTCATTTGAACCTCCCAGTGCATCAGTGAAATCATGTCCACACACATACAAAGACTCCAAATGGGTTAGGCAGAAGACTTGTTTGTAATGGGAGGCATGGCCCTCTCCCTTGCATCTCTCAAGTGCCTTTTAACAACCCTTGTCGCAGTAGGACGCTAACAATTCTCTTCCCCCTGTTTTACCTATGGCAGATTGGGGTGCTTTTGGTGTCTTTGGGCAATATGCCTTGCAGTTGCATGACCGAGTTGACTGTGTAGTTGTAGGACTTGTATGAGGTCAGAAAGTCTTGCTACTTTTGTACAAGTGGCTCTCATAATGCATTCTTGTGGGACTTGCACTAGGAGGGGTGATACAGGTACCCGTTGCCACTGACATGGTTTAGAAAGCCCTGGGCTAAACGCTGGGCAACACTGCTGTGGCACAAAACATGAATGGGCTTGGGCAGCTTGGAAATCCTAAAGGGCTTGTACTTGCATTTAATTCTCTGTCTTTGTGTTGCTAAGTGCCACTTCTGCAACTATTGAAGGGCTGTCCTAGGTCATTGTGGAAATGAATGTGAAGTGGTAGTGGTGTCTGACAGGATCCATGAACCTTGGTGGGGCAGAAATACCATGCTGAGACAGTGCACTTGTTTTTGCAAGCCCAGTCCTGCCCACACATTCTGCCGTGAAGCTTGTATATCTGGTGGGCTACGAGTCCAACCCAGACGGCATTGCTGTAGCAACATTACCCTGGCTCGCTTTAGCATCACTAACCACTGCAGGTTAACCAGAGCGCACCTCCTTTTTGCCTGCCAACGCCCAGCGGAGGGACACAAGTGGCAGAGACAGACTAGGAGACTGTGCACAAGTTATCCACCCTGAACACAAGTAGCGTAAACACTTTTCTTCCAGTGGCAAACACTTGTCTCTCTAACATCTGCATTGCAGCCCTTTATTCTTGATAGCATCGAATCATAGAAAATGAGGGTTGAAAGGGACCTCAGGAGGTCACATCTAGTCCAACCCCCTGCTCAAAATAGGACCATCCCCAACTAGATCATTCCAGCGAGGGCTTTGTCAAGATGGGCCTTAAAAACCTCGAAGGATGGAGATGCCACCACCTCTCAGGGTAACCCATTCCAGTGCTTCACCACCCTCCTAGTGAGAAAGTTTTTCCTAATATCCATCTTAAATCTCCCTTGCTGCAACTTGAGATCATTGCTCCTTGTTCTGTCATCTGTCACCGCTGACAACAGTCCAGCTCCCTCCCCTTTGAACCCACCCGTCAGGTAGTTAAAGACTGCTATTAAATCCCCCCTTGGTCTTCTCTTCTCCAGATTAAATAAACCCAGATCCCTCAGCCTCTCTTCATAAGTCATGTGCCCCAGCCCCCAAACCATTTTCATTGCTATATCACTCGCTTCCAACCGTGAAAGTGAAAGGACTTGAGATCTACAGGAAACCAGGCTAACGTTGGGCCTCGAACAAGTGATGTCTCTTGGCATGAGGGACCCACAAGAGGTCTAGCAGCTTAGACTTCAGTGCCAAGGGGTGCCATGGCTCACTTTTTAGGGCACCCTCCTGTAGCAGTAGGAGAGCCAAATGCTGTTCTGGCATTGCCCCCTCTGAATCGGTGGAGTCTCTCCGACCTCCCTTTCAGTTCTTTGTAATGTTGGGTGCAGCTCCATTAAAAGGGCTAATGAACCTGATTGTGAGCAATGCCTGATGCTGGCTGCCTACGGCCTGTGCTGAAATGGTTGTTTTGGAGAGTTGAGAGAAAGAGAGAGGCCAGAGCTTTATTAAACAGTTTGTGGAATCTGTAATAAAAGCCTGAAAAGAATGATACCCAGCACTGGACAAGCCCTGGACTTGGGCTATGAATGCTCGCGATTGCTCAGAATTTCTTCCACAGACCCATGTTTTCAGGGGCTAACTTCAGTGGCAGAACAAATACAATGAAATGAAATTGTGTCTGAAACTTGCTCCTTAGGTCTTCTCATGCATCCCCCCCCACCCCTCTGCCCCCCATGTGCAAAGGGTGCAAATATCATTAATGGGAGATTAACCCAAATTTTTCTGAGCCACCATAACAGACAAGAGGGTGGGAGTAGGGGAAGGAGGAAGTTTAGGCACTTTTCATTTTTAAGAAATGGGTCATCTTTTAGCATTCAAAACCAGCTTCCCGGTGTCTCCTTATTCTGTTGCATAAGGACAGGAGTTTTCTGAGCTGCGCCTTGCATCTCGCCAGAGGGTTGTAAGGGTTTCAAGTGAGTCATTCTCACCTGGCAAAGCTTCTGGGGACTGCACTGCTTGAGATGCACAATGTGCCCACTTATCAAACTGGCGCTGGACACCAGAGTAAAGCTTTTCGGGGCTCGCCACAGCTGGGCTCAGGTTCTTTCCTGATTCCTCTCTCAAAGAACTGAAGGCATGTGTGCAAAGTA